AAAGACCCGCGATTATCTGTATACGCGGAGATATTGAACGATAAGGAAACGATAATGACGACGATTAATTTCCGAAGGAAGGCGAAGGAGTTGTCGTATCGAGCTCAGTTAGTAGCCTCGATGCGATGCAACGTGTGCGTTATGCGCGTGCAACGAGAGCCTACAGAAGAATAAGACGCATGGGATCCGTTGGATCAGAACCTAAATTAGGATCAAGCGTAACACGTACGTCGACTGGTTTTCGCACGTGCACGTTCCCCTCTAATCCGTGTACCGAGATCACGTTTGCTCGATGAAACGTGAAAACAGATGCATATTCATGAATCGCCGGTGAATGTACCATGCACACGCTACAAATCCCGGTCTCTTCCTCACGCTGCATCGCATCGGTGCTTGATATACAGATGTATGCGGTATACGAGACCCACAACACTTGCCCCTGTGGTCTCGCGTCGACCATAGCTACCGATGGCATCGAGAATCGAGAAACACGAGCATCTAAGAATCTAATCCTAAACCCGATCATCGTTGTGTACGATCGTTGATGATCGACTGTCTATGCCTATGTGTACACACGTCTAATATAACGTATAGGATTTGTTTCCTATTCCTGACGCTGTTTATGGTATAATGTATGCGCGGTATTTGCTTCTTGACTATTCTTTACTCGAGAAATATAATCGATATTGTCGACGGGTCGCTCTTTAATGAATTACTTGCTTCGTAAAGTCAGTGGTCTTCGTAAAGTCGCTATGTCGTTGGATATCGCGGACTAAAGTTGAAATTCAGAATAATCAAACATTTGAAACATTTGAAAAAATGGAATCGATATGTATTGAACAAATCTAACGTGACGGGTCTCATTTTTTTATCGTTATTCTATGAACAACGTCCCTCTGTGACAAAGGAAAAAGAAAGAAAAGGAGCAGATAAAAGGAAAGAAAATAAAAATGGGAGAAAGAAGAGGAAACTATTCCGCCGAAATTTCATCTTTCCAACCGTAAGACAGGCACTTTTACATGCCAGGAGTGCGTACCCTATATTTTCCCGTGTCCTGTTTTCACCGAGGAGATTCAGCAGGAGAGCGTAACTGACAAAACGGCTGGACCTCGCACATACAATGTCAACAGAGCAGAAAGGAGAAAGGCCAGAGAACGCGTAGAATTTAATCGCACTTCGATCTAGCGCACGTTCTTACCTTTCCTTGTTCACCCTCGCCTTACTCCCTTTCTTTTTCCAGACAACGACAAAGTCGTTTAATCTGCTCAAGCATCGCCGGCTGCGGGCATTTACGCGACACACCATAGAATTATTTCAACGAACCAGCCGGTCTAGCTGGAAATTTAACGAGAGTACGCTTTTCATCAGGAATTCCCTGGCAAAACCGTGGATTTATTATTGACCGAGTTCGCAGTATCCAGCTCGTCCAACCGAGAGGGTGCAATTTCTCCCCTTCTCCAACGTTCTTCTGTTTATGGCTATGGTAATTGTTCTACGAGAGTATTTATTTCTCGCGAAATGCGAGCTTGCGATGTTTCGCCGAGAAGAGACTCGATTCTTTCTCGATCTAAGTATCGTAGTAACTGGTAAACACGAAACGGAGCATCTGTTCGAGACGTTGCGTTAGCGATAATCTATCGGAGTAGCTGGGTGTAATACGCGACGAATTATGAAATGAGATATAGTTTGTTTCTTAGAGAGACTAAGCTCTTATATTATATATAAGTCTTAAGAAAGATCATTCGTCGTCACTCTTCGTATGATCTTTCGGCTCAGGTACCTTTCACCTTCCGGTTGGACCAGCTTCATTGTTCGATCCTTTACCAAAAAGTAACCAGAAAAATAAAACTTTTCCGAAAAATGTGTCTACACGATAACGTAATGATATATTTAAAAAAGGCTGTTCTATCGTGACACGATTGTATTTTGTTTCCCACGATTTTAGTCAAATCTCAAGTAATTGATACGATTCAAGATGAAATTCTTCTTTTTTACGTTTACAAGAACAAATTCTTGTTTCGTTGTCAAATTGTTGTTCGAGTTGATTTATGATAAAAACATTTAAAATACGTAGAAAAGGAATGCATATAATGTACAAAATTCTAATGTAATAGATCAGGTGGAAAAAAAAAGTTGTTGCTACATTCGACGACTTGACGCGATGGTAAAATGTGTATTAAAAGTTTGTTAATCGATAATAACTGTTACTTCGTTGACGTCTTTTTCTCTTAAACCCGTTAACGTTTGTAACCCGTGGACAGATCCGGCGGATTTATTTTTCAGATGCGAAAGACCATGCCAGAACATGACAGACACTCCACGATTTCAACCGGGAACAAATCAACTCGCATTAAACACAATTACCCAGCGACAGATGACGTAGGGTATATACCGTGTTAGTTGCTACTACTAGCTATCCGGCGAATTGATCAAACTGCCTTTACTTGAAGAATATCTACCCGTCACCAGTCCTACGTGATCGAACATAACAATTCCGATAAGTAGCACTCGTTATAATAATAAAATAAAAGCGTCGGATATTCTGAGGCCATTTTATTACGTTCAATTTGCAATTAAAAAGAGAAAGAAAGAAAGAAAGAAATTTACATCGCCGTTTTATGATAATATAAAGTCTCAAATTGCTGCCTAAATTACATCGAATAGATAATAGTGTGTACATTTCGTTAATAATTTATGCGTGTATTTCATCTTGTACAGTATAAATTTTGTCCGATGTTTGTGATTCGATGGAGTATTAAAAGGCCGAGAAAACGAATCTGTATTATATGAATAATAATAGGCAAGTTAATAGTAATGTCTGTGACTTGTTCGCCCTTTATATACAATATATGCATACCGTGTTATAATTACAGTTACCAAAGTTATCAACATTCGTGTCAATTATATTATATTATATTAATTATTTTAATTACCCTTAGAATATGTACGTAATATGCACTTATATTCTCATTGTTATAAGAATATCTTTCATGCGTAGAATACTGTTCGACATTTAGATAAATATACCTTCAAGATAGTGCGGTAATTTTACAGGGCACTTGAAAATATTTCAAAACATCTCAAACCTCTGATAGACCTCCGTCTCTAATAAATACGCGTATTATGTATTACGTGCCCTATTTAAATTATGTGTGATCACACCATTTTCTATTAAATTCACGTAAAAAGCAACGTAACGACATATCATAGTTACCGCTATCAATTACACGCAGAGAGCGATCGAAATGAAAAGCCGCATGCTCGATGCAACGCGACGCGTTCCGTGTAATTTTTAAACAACGTAAACAAACTTACGACTTTGACTTCTCGAGGCTTTAACACGTTCACTGCTGATCGGATCGGATCACGACACATATGTATGTACGTATGTAGTTTTCCTAGAGAAAACCTATAGTTTGAGTTTGACATCGAAATTAATATGTGCTTTTGATACGCGTACCAACGGAAATATGAGACTTACGCGACGAACATGTTAATATCGTCGCATTCGATGCCGACCTACGTATATGTAAGTAAGTATGTAACTCTTTGTTTGAAGCGTGCGAACGCGAACTAAAAAAACTCGCGACACGGGCAGCTGTTCGGATTACATTGGGCTCGCCCCTGGCGCGTGGACGGTTTATTGACACACTCTCCAGGCGACCGCGTATTATTACCAGTGTCGTGCATCCGCCGCGTAACGTTTTTCGAGAAAGGAAACGATTGTCCTAGCATCAGGACGAATCTCGACTCTATGGACTAGAAGAGGAAGAAAATCAACAATGCTTCTTCCACCTCTCGTGCCTTTATTTCCACTCTTCGTGCGGTTCTTCTTTCACTTTCGGGCAACATCGGGCAACGTTAGTCCTTTCAGATGCAGTTTCAAAAATGTGTACCATATTCCTACGAAAGACGATACGATATGCAATTTCCATTTATAGATTCGAACGCGAGCCACAAATTTCGTTAGTTTCGTATGAAAAATGGAATCTTTGAAATTAGAGCGATGCGATCTTGATGAGTCGAACGAAAGGTGAAGTTGTAAACGCGTTTACCGGGCGCAATTACCCTTCCTTCATTTATAAGTGACACTCGCTGAGCGTGATGTTTGTCGAAAGGTATATTGCCCACGTTTCAGAAGGATGCCCGTTGTAATCGTCGATCGTAATGAAACGGGCACCTGTAGCAATGTGACACGCAATGTGGAGAAGAAAGAAAGAAAGAAGGGAGAAAGAGAAACGATAGAAGAAGCGTGCTAACGCATATGCTTTTGACGTTTCGCGTCCGGTAGCGTCCGTGAACGATTGCACTGCTAATATTTAGATTAACGCGGCAGTGACTATAGCGGCGTTCGAGGATGTTAAGCTGTGAGAAATTCTTGTGATACGCATGTAAACGAGTAAGAATTTGACTGACAAGGGAGAAAAAGAAGAACAGCGACGACGGCCGGGTTCCGTCGTTGTTGCAGAACATCCTATACTTACATACTTACATACGTTCTCTTTGATCGTAGGTCATAGTACTTACACAGTATATCACTCACCTGCATGCTTCTCCGACTTCGGCGTGGAGGCCATCGCTAGCCGATAGTATGTCCTCTCGAGCCACGACACTATCTCACCATTTCTACGAATGATCGCATCGTAAACTACACACCAGTAACTGCCGCGGCGTTTTCAGTCTAATGTAAACCCGACGTGCACCGCTACATCTTCGTTTGTCGGCCATGTTTCGGGGCGCGAGCGCGCGAACCGCCATCGCGCGGTCACGATTCGAACACAACCACCATCCAGAGCAATATGGCCGGCCGACTGTCATTCGGGTGACATTTCACTCTATTTTCGATCTCGGAAGGATGTTTTCGAACGACTGATTTTTACAAGCGCAGCATGATCTGCGACTGCACTCGCGCGAGAATAGAAACCGCGACACTGGTTAACCCGCTGCGACGATTCGCTTCATAAGTATCGCCGTGTGAAAATTAATCGGAGGAGTGGCGGCGCAACGACTGACTCTGCTACGTTGGTACAGTGGCTCGCAAAAATCATCGTCCACCGCACCGATGTGATCGAATACAGTCTGTAGCAAAATATATTTCAATGGCTTCACGGTTTAACCGTGATGAGGAGTGAGTACCGAGCAACCAACGAGAATGTATAACGAGACATTGCGTGCATTTCCGATAACTTGATCGATCATTTGTTAAGAAAATAAAGCGAGTTAGGCGAAAACCATATTTCCTGTTTATGCCTCTCGAAAATTGATAGAAAGTTATTACAAGTATACGGGTTTATTTTTGCCGATGTTAAAGTAAAATGGGGAACTCTGGCTTGAAGCAGCATTACGAAACTGCAAAGAAAACCGGAACGTTAAAATTGTCAGAGAGGAAACTCGACGAATTTCCACAAAATCTACTAGCTTTGTCGCCACTGTTACGAACATTGGATCTATCGGAGAACAAATTTGGTCATATTCCCGATGAAATTGGGAATTTCACATTATTAAAGCAGTTGAATCTTAATCATAACAAATTGACCACTTTGCCCGAAGCACTTGGAGCATTGACCAAGTTAGAATGTTTAAACGCAAGTTCGAACCAAATAAAAAGTATCCCTTGGTCTTTATCTAAACTAGTACGTTTGAAACAGGTCAACTTATCTGACAATCGTATAACCGAATTTCCCCCCATGTTTTGCGAGTTAAAATTTCTGGACGTATTGGATTTATCGAAGAATCGAATTACCGTAATTCCCGACGCGGCTGCGGCATTACATGTGGTTGAACTTAACCTCAATCAAAATCAAATATCGACTATATCTGACAAATTGGCGGAATGTTCGCGCCTAAAAACTTTAAGACTCGAAGAAAATTGTCTACAACTGAGCGCGATACCTACCAAAATTTTGAAAGATTCCAAGATTTCCGTTCTCTCTGTCGAAGGAAATTTATTCGAAATGAAACAGTTCGCTAATCTCGATGGTTATGATAACTACATGGAAAGGTATACTGCGGTAAAAAAGAAACTGTTTTGAGAGTTATTCTATAGGATATTTATTACGAAATTTGTTATAGATAATAATAATAATTACATAATTATGTTATGACGTTGAAAACAAGCCGCATCGTGTTCGTGTAATTCTACTATACTCGATATCTGCGATAAAGTAATCATAAAAATAAAATTCTTAAATTATTCGCGAAATAAGAACGTTTTTAATAAATTGATGAATGCTTCTACGGAAAAGCATTTTTATACTTAACAAAAAAGAGAGAGAGAGAAATGCATTCATTAGTAATTCAATAACTCATTAGATGATGAGCTCGATATACGATATAAAAATTATATACACAAAATAATGTACATACATATAAACCCACTGATCTGGTATAACATTCGGGATTTCAGTTTTTATTACATGGATTATAAAACGATGTCATGATATATATTTCGTGTTGCGGTATAGTTCTTACAGAAATGATCATATATACGCATAATTTATGAAACGTTAGTAGAACATATAATAATAATAATAATATATTTTGCGAAAAATTCTTGCATTTCTTTCTTTTTCTTTTTTCATGTTTCAAAGAAGCAAAACCACCATTTTTAATTCCAAAATGTTCCCCATTTTTTAAAATATCTATACATATTTCTATACGCTGCTAATTAAACCTTATAGATACAATCAAAAATATGTTTGAAGCAGACATTTCTGAAATTATTATAACCAGTTATAATATGTAAATGTACACAAAACTTTGTTATTGTGTATATGATATTGCGTATGTGTAATCTAATTATTTCATAAACTAAGTTTCGTAAAAATAAATTGTGCTCTTATTTTGAACTTGTAATTTTTACTACGTTTCCTAATCAATTTTTGTCGCGTATAATTATAGTATTTACAAGTATAAATATGCAGACAAAATTATTTTACTATTGCGAGTGAAAAACAAATGATGTTCTGCATCCCAAAATGGCGTGTCTGGTCTTTGCTTTCTGAACAGGAAGAGCTGTTGAAATTAAATAAAAAAAAAAAAAAAAATCGGCAGGGG